GGGAGAACCTACACAGGGTCCACAGTCAGGAAGATGGCTCACAGAGACAGGAGGGCTGGGGGAGGAGTGGAGAGGTGGCAAGATGGGGGCCAAGCGCCAACGTAGGGTCAGAGGACTCTGCACTCTGCTCTTACAGCTATCAGTCTCACGGCTAGCAATGCAGCCTGCAGGAGAGTCAGGTCAAGCAGGTGAGGGCCAGGTGAAGAGGGAGAGCCGGAAGATAACCCAGATGCTGTGTAATGAGAGTGTGGACCAGAGCACTGGGGATATGCCTAGGGGAGAGTGGATAAGCTTTGCTGATTTCAGACTGGGGGTGAGAGCGGGAGTCACAAAGGATGCTGGGGACAAGGAGGATGGCGATACCTTAAGTATACAGGAAGAGAAGTAATCGAAGAGGTGGCTGCTAGGCAGCTCCAAGTTGACTACTGGGGGTCTCCATGAGACACCTGGCATTGGGATGGGTGGCACCTGTCTGCACTGTCCCCTCCTGTGCCCAGGTGGACATTAGTAATTGATGGTGTCACTCTCTCCTGCTGAGGACAGAAATGGCCTTAGGGCCACTCCTATTTGACTGGCATCTCTAAGTGGTGTTTTCCCTATTTCCCATACCTCCTCACAGGCATCATAACCTGGGGTCGGGGGATTGAGAGCTGAAAGACCTGGTTGGCCTTCATTGTCCCGAAGAGGAAGCTGAGGTCCTCAGAGAGAGGGGGATGAGGTGGTTGGGGAGGGCAGGGGGCAGAGCTGGGGACAGAATCCCCCACTGAGCCAAAGCTCCTGCTCATGCGTTCGGCTGCCTCTCAGACCGTAAATCAGGGTACAGGCCTGGCAGCTCTCACAGTAATTATGACCCAGAGCACCGAAGACCGATGAACCTGCCTCAAGAAGAAACTGGCTCCTTTTACTTTTTCTTTTAGAATCAGGCATCAGACCTTAGTCAATTCCCAGTGGAATAAAGGCTGGGCGAGCGGTTGAGTGGGTGTGCTTGGCGGGGATGCAGAGAAGGGAATGGAATATAGGACTGCGGTGATTTCTTCCTTGGGCTTCACAGCCATCCCTCTGAACAGCATGGATCACTTTTGTTAAATTCCAAAAGGTGGCAGCATTCCATTATTCATTTGCTGCTGAGGCTGCAGCAGGGAACATCCTACAGAATGGACATGGGGATGAAGTTAAGACACCCAGATGGCAGGAGGTCAGGACAGCTGGACAGCCCAACACTGACCGGAAGGCTGGTGCTAGGGGATGAAGGGAGGATGCTGGGTGGAAAGGCGCTGGAGAGGTGCACCTGCCCCAAGACACCAAGAGAGCCTCACCTTGGAACTTTCTTAGCACAGGCTCTGGGCGTACAGACCCAGGTTGACGCCAGGTATCACCCCCTCCTCTAGAGTGTGGGTAAGACCTGTGACCTGCTACGAACCAACAGAGAAGATGACTGGGATGCCAGTCCCACGACTGTGTTAGAACATAGGTGTATGAGACATCACCTTGCTGGCCTTCCTTAGAGAGCGCCCCCAGCTGGCCCTGAGGAAGCAAGCTGCCATAGTGTGAACCACCATGAGGGGCCACGTGGCCGGGCACTGCGGGCAGCCTAGGAGCAGAGGCCCCCATCCTGCAGCTGCAAGGACCTACATTCTCCCAACAACCAATGAGCACGGAAGGGGACCCTACACTCCAGATGAGACCCCGCCCAGCCAATGCCTGGTTTGCAGCCTGTGAGATACTGAGTAGAGGGCCCAGTGCTTTGCACATGGGTGATGAGTGGGTGTTGTTTTAAGCTAAGTTTCGGGTGATATTTTATTCAGCAAAGGAAAATGAATACAGTCTATTTCAGTTAAGAAAAGTGTAGAGGTTATGAAATACGGCTCTGAAATGAGGCAGAGCAAAATGGAAAGTGGGCTCTGCACTTAACTGCACTATGTCTCCAGTATTGTCACGGAAGAGGGAAAACGAGAGTGCAATGTCCTTCTGGCTGGAGCAGTGTCACCTCCATTTGCTTATGACATTAACTCCAAAGCCAAGCCCAGGATGGAGTGTGAACCTCCCTGTTTTGGCCTCATTTCCAAAATGCCTTTCATCATGTGGGCATTTGACCACAGATCACCCCAACATTTAGAGACAAGTCCATGCCATGTATCCAGGGTGTCACCTCAACACAACCACTTCATCCGGTGCTTAAGCAAAACTCCAATCCGCTCTAATATTCAAGGAAAGTGTGGCTGCCTTCGATGCATCCAGGAACAGAAAGGCTGGCCTCCAAGCTGGCCTCCTTCAGTGGAATCTTTTCCAAGTAACTGACCAGGTGTGATTTTTTCCCCTTTCCTGCTGACTCCAGAATCAATCGCACATCTAAGGTGTTCCCCAAAATGTTCCTTGCACCACTGAACAGAACCAGGTGGCCTTACCCTCAGCTCAACTCAGCTCAGGCCACAGTCTAATCCAAAACGGCTGGTCACAACATGCTGCCACTAACAGAGGTCACAGAAATGATTGCTTCTACCTGTGACACATTGGGTGGGAGGCTGACCCCTGGGTTCCAGCCTAAAGGACACAGAACAGCAGCACTGTGAGGGTCGGGTTGGTGGGGGGGAGAAGGAGAGGGTTAGGGTCGTCAGATCTTTGCAGCATGAATCTTAAAATCCTGCAGCCTCCTGTAGGGAAACAAGCAGAATAGAATCTTTGCTTCCAGTAGAGAGAACCTATCACCTTAATGAGGTGGTGCTAGGAGCCAGGACTATCAAACCTAACCCAACCCAAGAAAGCTGAAAATCCACAGGTGCTCTTCTAAGCTCCTGGAAAACCGACAGACCTCAGCCACCTTTGGTCCTGTTGTGGGCAATAGCATTTAAGGTGGGGACGTTTTCTCCCTACTTCTCAACTATTTTCCCTTCAAAAGCTCCTTCAACTTTAAGACACTGGTAAGTGACTTTCCTGCCACAGGCTCTATTTTTCCATCTGTAAAATGGGTTTAGTGTCTTTATGCTTTCTTTTCATAGACCTGATGTGAGGTTACAAGAATCTTGTATGGAACTATTAAGACATAGTACTTTAAAATTATGAGAAGTATGGTAGCCAACCTCCAAAGTGGCCTAAACAACCCTCTGGGCATTTACGTCAGTGTGTAGGCCCTATCACAATTTCATCAGGGATGGTTGGCAGGAGGGATGGAGTGCAGCAGAGGTGATGGCAGTGTGACTTCTGAGGACAGGTCATAAAAGGGGTCCTGCCCCCGCCCTCAGATTTCTTACTCTAGGGGAAGCCCCTAGCCATGTCATAAGGACACTCAGCAGCTTTAAAGAGACACTCACACAGGAGAAGCTAAGGCCACCTGACAATGACATCATAAGTGAGCCATCCTGGAAGTGGATCCTATAGCCCAGTCAAGCCTTCTGATGACAGCAGTCCCAGCTCATGAGAGACCTTGAGCCAGAGCCATCCATCTAAGCCATTCCCAGGTTCTGAACCCGCGGAAACTGTGAGATCATGTTAGTCCTTTTAAACCACTAAGGTCCAGGGTAAATGTTTTAAGTGGCAAGAGATAATGAATACACTTTCTTCCTCCGTAAATCATTTCCACACACACAACACAGGAAGACTATTTCACAGGATTGGTGTGAAGATACAAGGCTGGTCCCCAGTGACAGGCTGAGCCAGAGGGGGAGTCCAGCCTGTGGGACTTTGGATGCACTAGTTCACTTCACTGGAGTTTGGGTTTCCCATCCACAAAATGAAGATAGAAACAGCACTTACCTAATGGGGTCATTGTGGGGACTTAATGAGAACAGAGATGAAATACTTAGTCAACTTCAAAGTGGGACAAAAAAATGTCGGTTGTATGATTGTCATTTCTCATCATCTTACCTCTTCTTCCTTCTTCTCTCGGCATCACAGGTGAACACTTCTTTCAGGTGATCCAGAAATTTATTATAAAACCCCAGCCTCAAAAGTCATTTTAGGGAACAGACAGAGGCCAAGAGATGAGTTCATGGAGAGTCGAGTTTGTGCCAAGTACCAGAACAGATGGGGCACACTGTAGAGGAAGCATGACAAATGCAGGGCACACATATGGACACTACTCAGGGTCACACGAGCAGCTTTTGATAAAAGAATTTACTCTCAGCCATTCACTTATCACTATCACAATGTCCTCCCATGGCTACATCATTATTTCCAAACTCTTTTTCCATACTATTTTTTTCTTTAAATCAACTCACCCTTTTTACTTAAATATTTTCAAAAGAAATTTCATACCCACTATAAATGGAAAGCCAGTTTCGCTTGCTATAAAGATAATCATAAAACTAAATACATAATGATCACTACAAAACAACAAAAGTCCGTGAGCCCTTCAATCATCACACGGTCACCAGCAGTACACAAACACCACCCTGTGGGACGGACCACGAGGATACACATTCAGGAGCGTCTGGCGGGAGTGTTTGGGGAACAGTGGTGCAGGGAGCACCTGTGATCTCTGCTGCTGTCACCGATGCCTGGACGACTGGTGGAGAAGGCGCAGGCATCCACACCACCAACACCCACAATCACCTGCCCTAGGACCACAAGTCCAATGCCATGATGCGGGCCCCAAAGCACTCAGCAAGCACCCCATGGGGACAATCAAATGATATTAAACTTCCTCCCCATTTCCCAGCGCCTTGGGGTATATCCTCACATCCAGAAGTAAAGACGAGCCCGCAGCCCCACCATCAGTCACTGATCCCCCAGATCTGCTCCCAAAGGAGCTGGCCTTTCCCAAAAGGGGAGCTCAGCTTTCCTATCAGGTTCCACAAGGGCTGACTCTGGCCCCAGGTGCTTCCTAATAGAAATTCTGTGACCGCTTGGGAACCTTGATTCCCCTCAAGCCCAGCTACTGCTCCAGCAAGATTGGTTTCAGGTGCAAACCACTGCTGGTGATTGATGACGGAGCCCAGGGAGGCTGAACAGGGTGCAGAAGCAGTTTCAAAATCGAATCTGGTCAGCAAAACGCATCTACTTACCGAGTCCTGCGGACTGTTCCTGGCACTGGAGAGGAGGGCTGAATTTTCAGGGTCGTAGTCCTGGCAAAAAATAAGAACAAAGAGGTGGGGGGCCCACAGTGAGAGAATAGTTCCAATTTGGAATAACCCCAAGAGTCTTGAGACCTTCAGCCACAATCATTCATTCATTCATTCATTCATTCATTCATATTCACTCTCTCTTGCCCCCTCCCCCGTGACCTGCACTGCCCAATGCCAAGTACAGCAGCTACAAGCCACATACGGCTTGTCTAAATTCAAATGTGCTATTAGTATAAATTGCACACTGGATTTTGAAGGCTGCATGGGGGAAAAAAGGAATGTAAAATACATCATTAATATTAATATCTCATTAATAGTTTTATATCAATTACATGTTAGAATGATAATATTTAATAATATATAAAAATAAAGTGTATTATTATACTTAAATGTATAAATATATTATGAACATTTAAAATAAAATATATGGTTACAATTAATTTTATCCATTTCTTCTTACTTTTTAATGTGGATACTAGAAAATTTTAAATTGCCTCTGTGGCTGTCCTGACATCTCTGTAAGGCAGCATCTCTAGGTTGTCTCCCAGTGCGGACCCACCCTCACCTGGGCAGCCTCAGAGAGCCACACCCAGCCGCCTGTTCCTGGGTTTGGGGTTGACTTTCTGCTGGTTCACCCCAACAAGAGCTCATGTTAATGGAGCGTCGGTGATGCCGTGTGCTTAGCACTCTTCTGCATTTTCTTCTTTAACCCTCACAAAGATGTAAGGGGAAGATTGCAATCTCATTTTACACAGAAAGGCTGAGAACTTGGCCAAAATAACTCAGCAGAGCTTCAGCAGGGCCAAGAGGTTAAGGATGGATCTTCATCGTCATCATATTCTCCCTCCAATGCCCCATTGCCTCCCCATGAAGCACAGCACACAGCATGTCACAGTCGGTCACCATCCAGCGCTGGGTAGCTGCCCTGCTTCAAAAGTGCCAGCAGGGCCTAAGCTGCATATTTTTCCTCCCTCGAGCCAAGGGCCTCCCCTCCCACATCCCTGAGCCTAAGGTCCAGAGGTCAGCTCTCCTCCTCAGCCCACTGTCCCTCATTGTGCTAATTAGGAGGAGCATAGGGAGACAGAGGGGGCGTGACTCAGTCTGCCTTCCTTGGAAGGTGTTCTCTGCCCTTCCTGCCACTTTTAGACCTTTTTGTGCCCTGTAATTGTGCGGGCACCTGCCCAGATTGGGCCCCCCGCCCTATTAGCACAGTCCCTGTATCATCCTGAACAAAGCACCAACTCTGTGAGCAATCCCCTGTGACCATTCCCCTTCTTACCTTAAAAATGGCAAGAAACACAGAGGTTCTAAGCCAGGTGTGGTAGGGGAAACAGGCGAGATAAGAGATGATGTCTCTCCATCACCCATCACCCTCTCAGGGATTTGTCATGAACTAGGGTGAGCTCCCAGAGAGCAGTGGCAGGTGGCATTAAATGTGACATTATTTTCACTAAAATGACCTTTAAAGGTTTTATCTTTCACATTAAAGGGAGGCCAAGACCAGGGCTGGTTAAAGCCTCCTGATCAGTGGACCTGGGCATGGTGGGTTTCTAGGGATGGAGCCAGTAAGACCTGCAGGGACCCTAGCTCTCTAAATGCCTGCCAGGCTACCCAGCCCCACTGCACCCTACAATGTCCTGACCACAAGGGTGTGATGCCCCTGAAGGAGTCTGGGGGCCAAGAGAAAGAAGGCAGTTTGAGGAGCCTACGAAGCCAGGTCATAGCCCCTAGGTGACCACAGAAGACACCATAGCACGGAGAGTGCATTTTCCAAGGCAAAAAGTTGAAATAACTCCTTGACACCTGGATTAATTAGATGACATAACATATTCAAGCCAATCATTTAGATTTCCGTCGTCTCAGAGTGGTGGTGATGAAGACCTTCCTAATTATGAACCAAAAGCCATAGAGCAAATGATTCAAAATGTTGAATAATATTTTAGGCGTGAAAAATAAAACCTTAAACAAAATGTAAGACAAAACTTACTGAACAAAGAGCAACTTCCTACATTTATAAAAAGCTCCCCCAAGTCAGTAAGAAAAACATCAATGGAAATCAAAGGGGGGAAGATGAGCCAAGGAGACACCCAGACACGTCACAAGGGAGATGGCAAATGTCTGCTCTGCACATTAAAGGGTCTTCTACTTCACCCACAGCAAGAGATGACAATTAAGACAATGTATTATGTTTACTGAGGCTGGCAAAGATGAAAGTCAGGCATCGTATCGAGGCGATAAGAGTGTAGAGCAGTGATGGCGAACCTTTTGAGCGTGGCGTGTCAGCATTCTGAAAATCCCTAACTCTGGTGCCGTGTCACATATAAAAATTTTTTGATATTTGCAACCATAGTAACACAAAGACTTATATTTTTGACATTTATTTTATATATTTAAATGCCATTTAACAAAGAAAAATCAACCAAAAAAGATGAGTTCACGTGTCAGAGGTGTCAGAGGTTCGCCATCACTGGTGTAGAGAAACATGTATTCTTATACATAGTGGAATTACACATTGCCCAACATTTGAAAACTTGATAATATTTAACTAGCACTTTCATTTCTTGGAATTTCTGCTATAGAATGTCTGCATGTATGGAAAATGACCAATGCCAAAGAGTTATTGAAGTGTATAATTTTTTTAAAACTACAAAATACTGGGAGCAATACTTCCATTATTCAGAGACCAGGTAAGTAAGTTAGGTGCATCCAGACACCCTCAGTAAAATAAGGCGGCAGCTCAATATGGAATGATGGGGATGGACAGTAAAATGCAGAGTGGTAAGTGCGACATGCCACCATCTGCGCATTGTTTTAAGAATATCTGCACATGTGGCATATGCACTGACATGTCCAGAAGGTGGATTTTTTAGGATGCTTTAAAAAATGGCTGATTTTGGAGAGAGGAACTGGCTGAGCAGGATGGGGTAAGTCAGGAAACTCATTTTACTCTTCTGACTCTTAATTGTATATTCTGGGCATGTATTTTCAATGAAAAATATTTATTTTATCCTACAATTTTTATTTTATTTTGTAAAGAAAAATAATTTAAGGGAATAACATATAGCAATACTAGGGGAGTCCTCTGGGTATGGAATTCATTTTTAACGTTTTCTGAAAAAAAAATTTAGCTCACACAATGTGGCAAATGATTTGTGGTTTCTTTGAACAAAGGCCTGACATCGTGGTCTGAATGCAGAAATATTGGCATTAATGGTTTTCACCCAGAAATTCAAACATGTGGCACACAAGTACACTTGCGTTTTTTGTTCCCAGGGCAGGCAGTACTAATCAAGCACTGCACTCTCCTGCTGAGCCCAGGTGCAGTATCAGGATCCAATCCAACACACTCAGAATCTACTCACAGTGACATGCCTGCTGAAATCAAATCCTGTCCTTGAGTACGGTAGGGTAACCACAGGGCAAGGCCCAAAAATCTGGAAGCAGGGTCTCCATTCACATGACTCCTCAGCCTGGGTATGAGTTTATATCACCAGCTTCTCTTGCCCTGCCGGGCCAGCTTCTGAAAATGTCATCTGGGCCCCACCTACCGTCCCAGATCAAACCACCCAGAGCCCTTCTGAGGAGACGCCGGTTAACCTTCAGCAAGGAACTCCCCCATTTCTCCCAACTTAGAAAATTCTGTGTAAATGTCAGATTAAGCTCTTCATTCCTCTGCTTTTAAAATGAGAGATAAAATTTAGCTCCCTATTCCCAGATGTTAAAATCTCTGCTTCTCCCCGGGGCAATGAAATCAATGTGAGTAAGCTCCGCACTTTTTTCCCTCGGAACACGACCACTTCCAGCAATTTATTTGACTGACTATGCCTTCTATTACCATGTAAATTGTTTCAGACTGCAGGGAAAAAAAAGTATTAATCTCCTCTCAGTAAGTCATAAAATAAAGAAATCAATTTCAAGGTCAATTTAGCCCAAATAACACCTGCTGCCCTTTTTTGTTACATGCAGACTCCTCTGAAATGTGAGGCTGTTGTCTAAGGCGTCAACATGCAGCTACAGAAAACTGCTTTACATCAGCCAGGGAAGCACCAGCGGAGACACTGGCCCAGTGGCCCAATGGCTGAGTATGAATGTGGAAACAACAGGGTTAAGAAGACTCAGCAAAATGACCCTCTGCAGGCCAGGGCAGGAGAGTAGAAGGAGATCAACAATGGAGGTCAGAGTTGAATTCAAGACAGGATTCTGGTTGACTTGCTGTGTGATTCCGGAAAAGTTACTTAACCTCTCTGGGCTTCAGAGTCTATACCTGTAAAATTACTTAAAATAAAATGAGGGCTAGGTGATCTTACGGGACCCTTCAGGCCAGTCCTTTGGGGACTCTGTCAGCATTAGACACCCAGGAGAACTGGCCTAGGCAGCCCAGTTTATGCAGCTACACTTCATCAAGAGACAGGGTTGTGTAGTGGTTAAGGGAACAGGCTCTGGGTCTGACTGAGTGTGTCCAAACTGTCTGTTTTCCACTCATGAGCTGCTTGACTCCAGACAAGATACTTACCTCCTAGGCCAGTGATGGCGAACCACTGAGCTCGGCCTGTCAGCATTCTGAAAAACCCTAACTTAACTCTGGTGCCGTGTCACATATAGACATTTTTTGATATTTGCAACCATCGTAAAACAAAGATTTATATTTTTGATATTTATTTTATATATTTAAATGCCATTTAACAAAGAAAAATCAACCAAAAAAATGAGTTCGCGTGTCAGAGGCTCGCCATCACTGGCCTAGGCCCTGAGTTTCTTCCTCTGAAAAATGGGAGTAGTGATATTACTTGTTTCTAAGGGAGAGAACTATCAGACTCATTTAGTGGGTGAGTGACTGGACTTGGGAAGTTACATGACTTGCCCAGGTTTCATAACTTAGACCAGGCAGCTCCAGGCCTGAACCCTGGATCCCATGCATCCAAAGCCATGCACATCCCCTAGGGAGCATTGCCTTTTGGTTTTCCTGGCCCCAAGATGGAGAAGGTACCACGAATCCAGAG